GTCCAATACAGTTTTTGTATAATACAGGTTTTTTATTTATCCATCTTGGATTTTAAATGTGGTTTGTGTAAAAATAGCGATTTAGAAAACATTATCTGCAGTATTGAATGATTTTTGTCACTAATTTTAGGCCTGTTAACTTGCACAGATTCGCCAGTTTTCGTTCAAAGCCATGACCTCAGAGGTTAAAAGTTGTTTTGAATGTAGGGCATTAATATATATTTCTATTAGCACAACACACATATGCTGTGGACCAAAGTCCGCGAAAACAAAAAGTCCAAATTGAAGTTCGTTTAGTTGGAGTACTATAGGAGAGCAGATTATACTAGTGTAGTACTTGAACTCGAGCAACCAGCTGGTGTCGTCGCAGGAAACACGGTAAGGCTTACTAAAATACTTTTTTGTCCGGTTATAAAATCAGTAGAAATTCTAGATACAACCGATAAACTACTCTGTAATCCACAGACTTAAGTTGTTTGTACTTCAGTCTTCTATTTCACAGTTTCTCTCTAAATATCCTCGATTTATCTATACTATTTTACATAGTATGTTATAGTTTAATCTTCAAGTTAACTTTGTAGAATTTTTGTTAAGTGTACACGACGATGTTCAAAATTATTGTAATAAAAACAAAACGAACTCATGAAATTTGGGGTCACTGGGAAAGACAGAGAAAAATAAACACATTTTACAGGTGTTAATACGTATTAAAATAGACTTTCAGAATAAATAGGTACAATCAGTTGTCTCCGTAACATACGAGTACAAATAGAAAACGCTGTCGTACATTTGATATGAACCAGTACTCAACGCGTTGTAAACTAAGTTATAAATACGTACATAACGACCATCGAATTCGAGTTAGTTACTTTTTTATTACTAATTATTTTATGGACAACACATTAGCCCCTCTACAAAGAAGGGGCTTAAGGTGACCCAATGGTTAGCATGTTGACTGAACTGTAGTTCTGAGGATTCGCGTTTCGCGTCCCGTCACTGCCAAAAATAAAAACAAGCTCCGTACTTTGGGGGCCATGGGTGCGTGATAAAAGTGACGGTAAAATCCTACTATTCTATTAGAGTTTTCCAAGAGTTGGCGGCGGATGATGTGGACTAGCTGCCTTCACTCTATTCTATCACTTCAAAATTAAAGAAGGTTAACGCAGGTAGCCCTTGTGTAGAACTGCGCGGAACTCTATCCTGACCTAGGATGAAATCCCAGTCATTACCTGGATAAAGCAGCAGGTTAACAGCCAAAACGTAAAATATATTAACTAGTTATTAATTAGTATATTATGTTGAAAATAATAATTAATTAATAATTAGTCCTAGACGTAAGTCATCATATTGATCACTAACCATGACAACAATATTTTAACACTTGCTGAAACTTTAATAAAAAACACCAGAACACAGGGATTCAAAACTACCAAGTTATCTGCATGGCTTGCCTATAGAAATTACAATTATTTTATATGTGTTTGTTTGATGTTACCTAATATTATAATCCAAAATTTGTACAACTGATAATGTAAATGCTAGAGCATTCTTGAAGGAACAGGATATTTCTAGAAAACAGGTGGCGTGATACTAGTCACGTGACCTCGCTGACGCAACACTATGTATAATATTAGAATATGTTTATAAATATTTCGTAAGCTCCTTTATCAAGCAACATTGGCATGTCTTTAAAACGTAAATAATAGTTTAACTACTACACATTGCAGACTCGTTCACAGGGGAGGTTCTAATTTGTGAGATCAAAAGTAAACACATATTGTTCAAAGCACAATCAGTATGCAAAGCATGCTAAAGGTGCGGGGTTCTGGGGGCATACTCCCCCACAAAATTTTGGAGAAACAAATTGGTGCTATGAGATTAAATCTAGAAGCAATTGTGCATGAAATACAGCTTAAACAATTGTGTGGCTGTTCACGTAAAATCCATAAACATCCAATGAAAAATCAACAAATCATCATTCTGATGTAACACTACATGGGGAGATAGACTTAAATTAACATAAATATGTATGTTTTATTATAGTAAAGAACGGTGCTATATACATGTAGAGTTGTTATTAATTGTATTAGTAATTTAAACAACTCTGTATATTAGCTATTTCGGTCATTGGCTATCACATATGTACATGTATGCACTACTGAAATAAATATCTGGTATTGCATGGAATGTTCTAGACTTCTGTCGGGGTATAAATACGCGTCGAAAGATTATTATTTGGGTCTAGATTGCATGATTGTGAGTTTAGCGATAAAGAGCGTATAGTGGCAACTTTTAAAGTGAAATTGTCACAGACTGTATTGTAATAACAGAGCAAAGAATAATAATTCGTCTTGTGAATTGTGTTCTAAAGTAATTGAAACAGCCTGTGTGGTCTTTGACGAAAACAAAGACAATTAATTAAACTTCTGGATATAACTGTGATAACCAACAGTGTAATGAACATTTGATTTGTTTTAAGAAGCCTTTAGATGCGAGTATTTCAAGCCACAAAATATTAATGCTTCATTAGAAGAATGTAGAAAACGTTAAGTACCCTAAGCAGCTGTACTATAACTATATAAGCATAATTTTTTTGCATTACAAAAATAGGGGGTTCGGGTCACACACACACCCCCCCACCCCCCGTTAGCAAAATCATGCACGTTGGCAAAGTTTAAACTTAGTTTGCTCCAGGGTCTTCTGATTGGAACGTCAAAGTGGATAACCACTTCTTTTAAAATCACATTTTAACCATTAGTTTGCTCTTATCGTTCGTTTTATGCAAATTTATTGTTGCATCTTGATTTTGATCTAATTAGTGACTGGTTAATGAGGTCAGAGATAATTAAGTTCACGGTATATTTCGATAAATATGATTACCAGCACAGTGTATACTTCTTCCATTATATTTATGGACTAAACAATTCAGTAACAACTCACCAGAAAACTTCGATTTAGGCCTACTTTTGCGTTGTATTTTTGTGGGTATACTCCAAGCTTATCTCCGTTACTAAAAACTTAGTAACAACTCACCAGAAAACTTCGATTTAGGCCTAATTTTGCGTTGTATTTTTGTGGGTATACTCCAAGCTTATCTCCGTTACTAAAAACTTAGTAACAACTCACTAGAAAACTTCTGTCTAGACCTAACTCTGCGTTGTATTTTTGCGGAAATAGTCTAAGCTTATCTAACAAATCAATACATTCGTCACCTTAGGCACTCACCTGAACATTTAAAGGAATGGATGCAAATCTCTGTTTATCTCCATGACCAGATTACGTTTTAAGTCCAGATAACAAATCAATACATTCGTCACCTTAGGCACTCACCTGAACATTTAAAGGAATGGATGCAAATCTCTGTTTATCTCCATGACCAGATTACGTTTTAAGTCCAGATAACAAATCAATACATTCGTCACCTAAGGCACTCACCTGAACATTTAAAGGAATGGATGCAAATCTCTGTTTATCTCCATGACCAGATTACGTTTTAAGTCCAGATAACAAATCAATACATTCGTCACCTGTCACTGACTTGAACATTTAAAGGAATGGATGCAAATCTCTGTTTATCTCCATGACCACATTACGTTTTAAGTCCAGATAACAAATCAATACATTCGTCACCTTAGGCACTCACCTGAACATTTAAAGGAATGGATGCAAATCTCTGTTTATCTCCATGACCAGATTACGTTTTAAGTCCAGATAACAAATCAATACATTCGTCACCTTAGGCACTCACCTGAACATCAGAACAGAAGAAGATTTGATCCCTCAAAATATCAAATTTTCAAAAGTGGAGTGCATTAACTGAAGCCATACAAATACACGAACAGCAGAACATATCCATTATGTAATGCTATAAATGACAACGTTTTTTTACATGTTACAGCAGCTGTAACAGGTGGCCACAAACACAACAGTCGTGGCTGTCTTATAACAATATGGAACCCATATGTTGTAACTGCAATTAACACAGGTTCATATGAAATATAAACCTATATGTCTCCTTGTGAGGTTGTACAGAGGAAGTTTGTCATTATGCCCATTCCTACCTTGTTTCCTAACTATTTGTTGCACCCATTCCCACACTTTCAGTTTTTTAAACATTTTTTCTAGTTGTTCATACACTTTTTTCATACAAGGTGACATGATGTTATGCATCATTCATTCATTTGTGTTGATATCATAAGTGTTGGAGTGCACCATGATATTGTGCTAGTATTAAATGTTTCATGAATACAAACTTGATTTAATTTACAATACATACTATTTATTCCTTACAAAAAAGCGTAGCTTGTCTTCTAGCTTAGATAGTGAAGCTTCTCTCAAGGCTCACCCTACGTAGTCATACCCTATACTACTTACAGTTTCCATATCTTGTCTGTAGATAGAGAAGGCCACACTCAATATATAGAGTGAATGAGCGGATATATGTATTTTAAAATGGCGTCCTTGTTCCAGTTACTACCTGATGTACGTCAAATAGCTCGTATTTTTTGGTGATATTTAGTATAGAAAAACGTGGTCCCTGTGCTATTGTTCTATTTGGTGTGCTTATAACTATGGTTATTCTGTTTGTTACACAGCTAGAAGCGTTCAATAATGTCAGTCAGAGAGATTGAGAAATTTGTGGTTTTGTGAATTTTTTGTATCTGCTCTGCTGACTTTCTCCATTGATTCTAAGACTTGTAATTTTGTATGTGGTTTGTTTATCACTTAAAGGTGTCTCTTAAATAATTTTGAAGATTTATTATTTAGTTGTTAAATGTGTATCTGAGTAAACAGTTTGTGTTGCATATATTGTGTATCCACCCAATTCGTACTATAAGTACTACTGTACTTATGATTATTAATACATGTTAGTCAACATTTTGATTATGTTTACCAAGAAACGTAGTAATCAAACCTATTCAATTCACCAAACAAGCTTTTCATTTTTTTAAACATACAGCTGTCAAAATTAACTCTTTGGTACCAAACGTCGCCTGCACACCATTCTGAGTCAGCTAGACAACCCTAAGTGGCCTTTGGTCCGGCATGGCCAGGTGATTAGGGCGCTCGACCCGCACTCTGAGGGTCGCGGGTTTGAATTCCCGTCCCATCAAACATGCTCTCCCTTTCAGCCGTGGGGACGTTATAATGTGACGGTCAATCCCACTATTCGTTGGTAAAAGAGTAGCCCAAGAGTTGGCGGTGGGTGGTGATGACTAGCTGTCTTCCCTCTAGTCTTACACTGCTAAATTATGGACGGCTAGCGCAGATAGCTCTCATGTAGTGGTGATGACTAGCTGCCTTCCCTCTAGTCTTACACTGCTAAATTAGGGACGGCTAGCGCAGATAGCCCTCGTGTAGCTTTGCGCGAAATTCAAAAAACAAACAAACAAACAAACAAGTTTACGGACTTACAACGGTAAAATCCAAGTTCGAATCCCCGCGGAGGACACAGCAGCTAGCCCAATGTGGCTTGCTCTAAAAAAATCAAATAAACAAACAACGTAATAACTCCAGTTATTCCACCATCAAGTATAATATGTGAATTACGTTGTTTTTCTTATCAGTTTGACCTAAAGGTCCATAGATATTGTTTTTACTGTTTAGGCAAATCCTCCAAATTTCAAGTACTTTTTGAAATTAGTATGTTTTAAGAAAAATCGCTAATGAATTTAAGCGGAAAAATTATGATGCTATTAGTATAAACATTTATTTCCTAAGCACCTGCAACTTGGCATGAAAATAAGTTTCATTTTTTTGTAAATGAATAATGCAAGGATAGTATTTTATGTAATAATAATTATTTATTATGTTGAAGAAAAGAATAATGGTTAATCTTTTATGAGACACGTTTAAGAAAAGAAAACCAGGTTTTGTAAGTAGTCCCTGCAATTAAGAGTATATTCTCTCAACCTGTGTTTTCCCAACACCAAATATTCAATCTTTATTCAAATTTCACAAGACTTATCTATATTTTTAAGACTAAAAATTTGTTCAATATTTTAATAAGATGTTACGTTTCTGCTCGTTTGTTAATTTCAGGTATAAATTCTTTCCGAGGAACTTCAGCGATACAAGTCCTTTCTTAAGTAAAACTAGTTTATTCTTTGTCGATACAACTTTGTAATACACAGAATTTCCACAGTCACTCTAAACTTAACAACCTTTATAACACACGCTATAAATCACAGCGATTCACACACTTTACTTACGGTGCCTACTGTTCGCTTAACTCAATTATTTATCTCTTCAATCTAATTATCTATATCGCTGGCTTTCTTTGCCAAGCTTATATACTAAAAAAAAAAAAGAGGGCGTCTAGCAAACACTCGGACATTCGGGGGTTCCCCGATAATTCTAGAAACTCCAGAGCGCATGCTTCCAGCGTCACGCGACTTCCGCTGTCGTAACAATATTATTTTGGATAAGTACTTTTGATGTAAGGATACAACGAGTACATTTGATCTACAGTTTTAGCAGTAACTTCCTTATGCGTGTATAAATATCACGGGTGTCTGAAAGATAGATTTGAACGGCATGTACTGAAATTCAAAACGGTTATTTTGAACAATACGAGCAGTGAAAAACGAACTATTTATTTTAGTCAAGTGGGTGAGAGGAAGCAATTTCGTGGGATGTTATCTCCTGATTTCAGATTCTGAAAGACCTGTGCCTTTCCCTTGCAAGGAAAATTTCGAATAATTCCGATGCACATTTACGAAAAGTTCTGAGTATCAAATGAAACTTCTCTTAGGAATCAAAATTAGGGACGAGATAGCCCTCTAGTAGCTTTGCGCGAAATTAAATTATTATAGTACGTATCTTCCATATGAAAAGATCATACTGGTCTTATTGTGAACGTTTTATTTTCTTTTAGTTAATCTTGTATAGCAACGATGAGTTCCCCGTCCAACGTACTGCTTAAGAAAGCCAAAGAGTGGTGCTGTGATCCGGACAGTCTTGCATTCGCCGAGAAGTTGGATCAACATGACAAACTGGCAAACTTTCGTGACAAGTTTATTATTCCGAAAAAAGTGGACCTTCCTTACAGTAAAACTTACTATTTTGAATCAAAAATACAATTAGTTTTTTGATAATTAAAATTATATTTTATTATTACTTTAATTGGTTTATTCTTTAGCTTTTATATATTAATTATTTAATAATATTGTGGTATGTTTAAGGTATTTTCTAATTATGGAAGTTAATTTATGCTTAAATTATTCTATTATATCGTGTTATTTATGCCAATCTATCATTCAATATATTCGAAACGGCGTGTGTGTGTAATTCATAGAAAACGGGGGGGGGGGGCATATGCGCTCGAATGCAAATACATAATCATTGCAACTTTGTTAGCCTGAAATTGATCTTATTACTTTTCGTTTAAGAGAATATAATCCAAAATTCCACACATAAAGAATGAGTATTTGTAATATGTGGTTCTTGTATGTCTATTTGAATTACCTGCGCTATACGTCCTTAATTTTGGAAGTACGAGGAAAGCAAGCTGGTCTACAATCATGACCACTAACTCCTGAAATACTGTTTCCCAGTTAATGGTGGGATTGGCTGACACATTATAATGCTCTCACGACTGAAAGGTCAATTGTGCTCGGTGACTGGTTTTATTAAGTCAACAGAGAAGACTCATATTAATACTTGCCTACCCAAAGAGTTTGGAACAAAGGGTTTACACTTGACGTCCTAATTTTTCTGGCCGCCATCTTGGATAACAAGCACTAACTCCCAGCCACACGTCGACTGAGATTAACATTAATAAAATAACTGTATAAATGTGTGTGTACTGATAGAGCAGCAATTACGTGATGCATACGTTTCGTATCGCAATAAATTCTTTGAATAGAAGTGACAGAGGTAAAGAAAAGTCATTTTTCCACTTGCCTAAAGTGACCGAGACTCAAAGAGAAAATTAAATAGTTGTTGAAAGATCGACGAGACGGATGTCTACACATCGCTAGAGCTGATATTAAGAATATTTACGCCTACATTAGAGCCTGTTTTATACAATCTATAAGAACCGGAGGTTATGTTTCCACCCCTGTGTTTGTAAGCAAGATTTCTTGAACTGCTGAATGTATTTGGACGAAAGATGGTATACATTTGGACTGTGACCGAACTTAAAAGTGATTAGTTTTTGGAATCTCAAGGTCACGAAAATCCAAAAAATACCTATCTGTTAAAATTGGAACAGCTTTCTCGCACTATTTTTGCTCTATAACTCAGTCAAAAATGATCAGATTTTGATAAAACTTGGTTGACATGTGTAGAATATTATTATTCCTCATTGCCCTGCCAAAAATGGTCCGTGTCCGTTGATAACGGCGGACATACGGACACATTTTCGTATTTTTTAAGGGCCTAATATGATCAATGCTGCGTAGCGGAGGTATGCTCTGTACTGAGTGGTACTCTATTTGCTGATAAATATTTAAAAATCGGTTTAAATATAAACAATTCTCAGTTGTTGTTTTTTTTTTTAATCATTTATAATCATAATAATCTGAAGCAATGATTTTACATGGGAATAATATTTGCGTCTTTAAAAATGATGCTTTAATGTAGAAAGCTAGCGAAGTATTATAAACTAATAGGCCTAAAATGTGTGATGAAAATCACGTTATTGTAGACGTTTTTTTCTGTTCCCGACATTCTTCTTTTATTTGTCCAATTTAGGTTAAATTAGAGGCATGTGAAAAAAAAAAGCATTTCAGATTTATTTATTACACATTTTAAGCATATAGATATTTATATCTGTTTAAACTTGTGGTTTCAAAACACAGACCATAGTTTGATAACATTATCATCGTACTTAGCGAGAACAAGTTCACTTCAAAGAATCCAACTAACCCAGCATTCCAGGTGACAGTAGGCTTACCGTGAAGGGGCTTGCTGTGTATGGCAGATATATTACAGTTTCTGCGGTTCCTGAATTTGGTAATAAAATACATCATGATTCCATTTGATTTTATCAATTAAAGATAATTTGGACAAATATCTCTCTCTCCTTTGATTCGCCATCTAACGTGTCAGAATACGATTGTTTGCCGACGTTCTCAAACATTAGTTGTAATTTCGCCATATTGGGAGATCACTTGTCGACAAGATGGCGCTGTATCATAGTTACGCTTATGACTTCATTGTGAGTAAGTAAGCCTAAACCAGTATCATATAGGTGTTAAAGTAAGTCATATCTGTGATGAAAAAAATCATTATAATGATTCAAGCTAAAGGTACCCTATCAGAAAATTACCCATTTATTACTATTCTGCGTTTTCTACCTCAAAGTTTATTTTCATTTAACTTTATCGAGAAATTCATTTACCCTCCCAACGATTTAATTGTAAATATGATGTACTAAACTATAAGTTCATTTTTGAAATGTTTAAAAGCATTTTTAAAGAATAAAACCACGGCGATTGTTTTATATGTTGCCCATAATCTTCTACTTTTACAGTAGATCAAAGTCTCATCACAAATCTTGAAGAAGAAAGTATTTATTTGTGTGGCCACTCGCTAGGCCTACAACCAAAGAAGGCCAGTTCGTACGTGCAGCAAGTGTTAGAAAACTGGGGTAAAAGGTAAAAATCGTAATCGAGTGATAAAATAGTAATGATATTCATATTCTGTATTAGAATTTTAATGTTTAATGAGTATTTGGAATAAATTATAGGGCATGCTGTGTAATATATAAGCGAAATATCTTGAGTGTATACGTGAGCATGGGTGAATGTCATTAGTTCTTGGAAATGACACCAGGAGCACCACTGTAGCAACCAAGGTCAGCGAGTCAGAGCCTAATCCGTAGCTATTTCATTATGCTTGGTTACCACACTCCCAAGATTACTACTGGTTATGATTCTTTCTGATATTTTAACAAACTCCTGGCCCCTGCCATGGCAACATAAGTTCGATTTATATCCAGTATCAATGTCGGGATCGATGCAGTAATCAAACATTGAACAGTTATCATAATTACACGAGAATGCTACCTCCTTGATTCTTTATAGATGTAAATATGATGTTTCGTCTGTATGTCACGCGGTTCGAACGAGAACTAACTTTAATATTACCTTCTATCTGGATTGTTGCATATTGTTACGTCTCTGGTCGTGTTATGACGTGTTACTAGCGTCACGTGACCCCCGCTGTCGTAAAAATATATTAATCTAAAAAATCAAACAAACATACAAACATTTCTAATGATTAAAAAAAGTCAATTAAAAATCATTAAAAAGTGAAAATGAACTATTTATTAAGGTATTGAATAATATTCGTGTTATTTATTGAATTAAACAGACAAACATATATATAGGGGTAAAAATGTTTTGATGAACTAGCCCCAGGCTGTTAGACAAGCGATGTTCCATTCGAACCTAAAGTTTCACTAGCCCACCTATTTGTTTTTCATCATAATGACTCCGTTATTACATATACATTGTATAAATCACTTGGCGGAGTTGAGGGTCAGGTTGAAAGTGTTGGGTTCATGTTTCCTAGATGATAGATATACAGTAATCACACGTGACTTGGTTTTAAACCAACAAACGTTTTTAAATTACCAAGGACATGCTTAGCACTTTTCAGATTTTTTTTTCTCAATTTCATGTATGTGATATTTGTTTTGACATCAGAGGGGTAAGGCTTCTGTCCCTGAACTGAAAGTTGTAATTACCAATTAACATTCTGATTCCGTCTACATGTTTAAAAAATCCCCCGAGACAATCCAAACGAAAAATAAAATTTAGAACTGGCTGCATGTGGAGATATTTAATTGTTTGTTTTTGTCGATTTTCTTGTAAAGCTATTATGGGGCTATCTGCGCCAGTCGCCTTCTTCTTCTTTATCGGGATTCGGACCATGTTTTGGACCAGGGAGGGTCAGGTTTAGCGTAGATCTCTTCCTCGCTCTCTGGAGTTGTTGTTTTGTTTCATTGTTACTAAATCCTAGCTAATAATCCTTGTTACATTACTCACAGTATGTTAAATATTGTCCACATTTTCAATTAGCATACCCTTTTCGTGTCACGTCCATATTTTCAAACACGCCACCCAGTAACGCGTTAATGCCCTAAGTTTTTTTTTTTTTAAATTCAAATATCATAACTTGAATATAACGGGTGACGTGCTGTGCATCAGAGTTTCTTTTACGTGCTTGTTAAAACTATTTTATAAGGTCTTTGATAGAGAGTGTTTTCTTTATTATAAATAAAACTATATATACGGTCAAAAATGACCCGTTGTTACTCGACCATCAGGAAATGTTGTGATTTAAACTATGGACAAAACTGTTCCAAGAAGTAAAACTTCTTGAAGACAAAAGTTAAAGTCACCGAAAAAGTTAAAGAAGTAATATTATTAATTTAGTTCCTAAACTTCATTTTTTCCCCCTATCGCTTGTTGAGGTTGTTGATTAATATATAGTGTTGTTTGAATAAACTTGAATAATAAATAATTCCAACTAAACATGTTGTTGATAGATATTTTTTTTTTTCCTAACGAGGGCTAGACGGGTTCTAATTGTTGACGTGCCGCAATGTGAATGTAAATATCCAAAGTTCGTGTCCCGTTGCCATTACAAAAAAAAAAAAAAAAAAAAAACACGCTCTGCATTTTGGAGCTGTAGATGCGTTCCCAATATTTGATTAGAGTAGCTCAAAATTTGGCGGCGGGTTCTGTTAAATAGCTGCCTTCCCTCTATCTAGTCTATGAATTCAAAATCAGGGTCTTCTTGTGCAGTTAGTCCTTACGTAGTTTGGGGTAAATATCCGAAACAAACACTTCGGTATAAAAGAGCGTAATCGTGTGTAGATTTAAAATAAATCCCCAAGACTGGTTTATACGAAGTTCACACCAGTGCTTGGACTGGATTACGTTTTTAAGTAAAGGGTTTTATGGACTCCAAACCCATGTAAACTTGCTAACATTATGTTGGATTTCGAGCAAGGGCTTTGGTCGTCGTGACCCCCCCCCCCTCCTTCCCCATTATCTCTACAAGGATGAAAAACTAGTTCGTCATAGTTCATAAGAAAGGCGATATGTGCATCTGGAGGACACCTCGAGGACTCAAAGAAAAATGTTGGCTCAGCGTAGATAGCTCGTGACCCTCACTGGGCTAGGAGGAGAGTATCTAGTTAGCACCACCCACCGCCACTTCTCCTATCTAATCGAATAGGGGTATTTGACTGCCACTCTTATAACGCACCAACGGACCAAAGTGTTTTCAACGATGATTTGTTTTGCATTCTTTAGGTTTAGGTTCACAGTAGACTTAACCCACTCCGTCCACCGCGGGGACTCGAACCCCAGATTTTAGGCTTGTAAGTCTATAAACTTATCCATGATCCACTAGGAAACAGTTACTGTTTTACTGGGGAAAAAATCTTAATATAAATGATACAAATAATAAAATATTCAACTAGTAATTATGTTATTTGAAATTGTGTTTGGTTAAAAGAAAGACGAAATGTGTGTGAAAATTGCTTTTTTTTTAACTGAAAAGAAGAGGCGAAACTGTTTGGAAATCGCGTATAACACTGTTATTAATTAGATATGTTAATATGAAGTTTATAGTAAGTGTCTAAATTATTGTCTTCTGCACAAGGAATAATCACAGCTCGTAAGAAACGTCAGTGATTTTTAAACAAGTTCTTTTTCTAATTTCTAATAGGTTCTGTGTGATATTTAGGTTTATATTCTGTGTCATGTAAATATGACGTAAGGCATGGCACGTGGCTGTGAGCGTTTCACACTTTGGGGGTCTTGGGTGCGTTGTAAGAGTGACGGTCAAATCCCACTATACTGCAATATAATAGTTGGTAGTAGGTACCGTTTACTTGCTACCTTCTCTCTAGTCTACCAGTTTAAAAATTAGGGATGGCTAATTTAGCTTCTCTCTAGTCTATCAGTTTAAAAATTAGGGATGGCTAATTTAGCTTCTCTCTAGTCTATCAGTTTAAAAATTAGGGATGGCTTAGTTACCTTCTCTCTAGTCTATCAGTTTAAAAATTAGGGATGGCTTAGTTACCTTTCCTCTAGTATATCAGTTTAAAAATTAGGGATGGCTTAGTTACCTTCTCTCTAGTCTATCAGTTTAAAAATTAGGGATGGCTTAGTTACCTTCTCTCTAGTCTATCAGTTTAAAAATTAGGGATGGCTTAGTTACCTTCTCTCTAGTCTATCAGTTTAAAAATTAGGGATGGCTT